CTCGCCTTCATTAAGCGGTTTGGTGATTAGCGAGAAGCCGTGGAAAGCAGAAGATGACGTTGGAAAGCAACTCCTGATCGTTAAAAATAATGTGGTCCTGGAGTTACTAGACATATCTGGTTTGCGTGTTGGAAATCTTCCCCCTGGTCCCTCAGGCGGTGCTTTAAAGGGTTTAATGCTTTATTCTAGAGGGGCTGAGCTATAATCTGGTGGAATCCCCCTAGAGTCGGAGGGGGTTTTTTTTTTCCCTCCTCTTTTTCTCCTTTCTTCAGCTACGGTCTTCTTCTTGTGGCATAAAGCACATCAGTAGGAGTTGGATGACACGAACCTCTGGAGGCAAGAAACCTGAAACCAGGCAGGCAGGAAAAGTGACAATTAGAATTAGAATAATTATTTTTTTTCACAGCAAAAGTTGCCATTAGTTGCTATGCTTCCACCGGGCAGAGAGGAGTTCCTGTTGCATGAGGGTCAGTTAAGAAAGCAGATTAATAATTTCCATCGGGGGAAATGCAGTTATCTCCATCATTTTACAGACGTGGTGATAATTGTGATAACGATGCAAGTGCTCTGCGTGCGTGTGTGTGTATAAACAAGTGTGCATATAATGTCCCACAAAGCATTGACGTTAGTATTAACATTATGTCCACATCTATAAAATTTGGGACAGTGTTCTGGTGTATTGAAACAGGAATGGTTTCTTTGCTCTAATGGAAGTTTGGATCTTTCTGTCTTTTGGGATTTAAGTTTTCCCTTGCTTTTTTTTTTTTTTTTGGCCCAGTTCTTTTGAAAGTGCATGCATGGTGTGTGTATATATGTAAGTTACGTGTGTGTGTGTGTATTTGTGTGTGTACTTTTCCCACAGTTCTGCACAATCAGCTGCGTGGGTACGTACCATTGCAAGGACGTGGTAGCAAAGACAAATTTCGTCAGCTGAAAATCTGTCCCATAAAGTTACTTCTGCCCCCAAAATAGGGCTTGTGGAGGGAAAACATATACCTGGAGCCTGTCCCTAAGGTGCAGGGGGTGTTAGAAGGTTTCTAAATACGGCCCGAAAGAGCTGGTCTCTCCCAGAGAGCCCAGCCTGGGACCAGCGGTGACCGGAGGTATTAATGCCCCCTCTCATTCCCCCCAGGTGAGGCCGTTCATTTAGCTCGGGATTTTGGGTACATCTGCGAAACGGAGTTCCCAGCCAAAGCTGTTTCTGAGTACCTGAACAGACAGCACACGGACCCCAGCGACCTCCACTCCAGGAAAAACATGCTGCTTGCTACAAAGTGAGTGCGAAGTCGGCTATCCCCCCCTCTTCTGCCCTCCCCCGAGAAAATCCTCCTCCTCCTCCTTAAACCCTTCCTCTGAGCTCGTTTTGAAAGCAGACAGAGTTTCCAGTCCCCAAATTATACTGGCCCTGGGGTGAGGAAGGATTGTTGTACCGGTAGGGTAGACCCTATAGCCTCTGTGTCCCTCTGCAGTGGGGTTCTACCAACACACGCTGACCCTATAGAGGATGTAGGTCACCGTCCCCTAGCTACTGTACATCGTTTCCAAGCCACGCTCAGTTCAAAAATCTTTATGGAAAGGGGACCAAAAATCTATATTTTCCTTCCACAGCATGTCTGTGTGTCCCTCCCGCTGCTCGCACACACCTGTTTGTCTGCTACCAAATGGCAACGTCTGTTCCATATGGTTTAATAAAAGAACCCCCACAGAACAAAAAAGAAAAAATGAAATCCCCCCACCATGCACTGCTAATCATCCCCGGTTTGGTCCCCCCAACCCATCCCTCTGCCTTGGGAATTTCTCGGTGGATGTGCTGTATCGGATGATTTACACTTGGCTGTGTCTCCCAGGCTACTAACTGGGTGCTTCATACTTTGCTCAGGTCCTCGGCGGTGGGTGCTGTGTGTCTCCACACATCTCCATCTATCCGGCAAAAAAAAGGGAAAAAAACAGAAAGGAAAAAGAAAAAAAGAATACGAGCCCAAACAGCTCTCATTTATTTCATGCTCTGGGACGTGGCTTGCCTCCGATGACAGTGTAATTTAAAGAAATATATGGAGGGTTGAAAAATCATTTGCTCAAATTTGTCCAGATGTTTTTTAGACGTGATTGGAATTTGATTGCCCTTTTCTGCAGGGTCAGAAGATATTAATGTCCCAGAACTTTAATTGCTCACAGACCCTGCTTTGCTCTTTGAAGATGTAAAATGTTGGACTCATTACTGTTTGTTCTCCAAATTCAAAGTTTCCTCTCTTGCACTTTCTTAATGGATAATACACATAGAAGTAGACCTTTATCTTTCCCCACCTTCTGAAACCTTTAATCCACTGGGAATTTCAGAGAATTTCAGAGGATGAGCGCTGAACGTCTTTTTTAAGGTTTTCTTTTTAGCTTTCTTTTTCTTTTTTTTTTTTTTTTAATTCCAGCCCTTTTTTCTCCAGTCCCTGGGTAGACATCTGTTCTCAAAGAAACTATTCCTTTGGGAACCCCACCAGCCCCCAGGGTTTCTACGTTGTCTGGGCACCTGTTGACTTGAAGGCCTTTTGGACCGGAGCAATGCAAAAGAAAGTGTGTGTGGGGAATTAATTATAAAAATCAAATCTGATTTTTCAAAGACGTGGGCAAACAAGCAAGAGCCAGATGTCAACTCTGACGTGTTAATTGGGATGCCACCCCCCAAAATAAAATAGGCGACGCTAGCTTTGCTCCTCATGCAACGAATAAGCCAGCATGGAGTCCCAAAGTCCTAATCTTTCTTGACAAGGTGGCCCAGCCTGAGCAATCTCAGAGGAGGCTCCATTTTGGCCCTTCCCTGCACCATGTCCCTGTGCCAGCCAGCAGCTCTCAGTGCATGGTTGTGCTTTCCTTCAGGAACAGCATCGATGAGAGCTACTTTGAGCCGGGGTCAGGCCTCTAGAAGATGGGTCATTGGCAGACCCATGGCCCATCTCCCTTTCAGCCTGGTTATTTCTAGAGCCACCAAGCAGTGCTGGGTTTTCACAGTGCTTCAGAAACCTCCTTGTGGCTGCTGGAGAGATTTCTATCTCCAGACCTGGTGTTACCCTGCAATTGCAGAAACCTCTCTCCTGAAGAACATCACCCTGAGCAGGGAGCTGCTGGTTCACCATGGCTGGTCCCCAAGCACTGTTGGGGGAAAGGAAGGTGGCACAGATGTCCTGTCTGGGGTCTTGGGATCGCCTTTGGCCTGAATCTGCCCCTTCCTTCAGCCTTGGTTGTCTTGGAGAAGTGTGGGATGAGCCTAACCACCGCTTTTCTCTCTCTCTCTTCCTCTTTTTGCCTTTCTCTCTTCCGTGCAGGCAACTTTGTAAAGAATTTACAGATCTCTTGGCCCAGGACAGGACGCCCATTGGGAACAGCCGGCCCACCCCTATTTTGGAACCGGGCATTCAGAGCTGCTTGACTCACTTCAGCCTCATCACTCACGGCTTTGGGGCCCCCGCTATCTGCGCTGCCCTCACGGCCCTTCAAAACTACCTGACTGAAGCTCTCAAAGGCATGGACAAGATGTTCTTGAACAACAACACTGCTAACAGGCACACATCTGGCGAAGGACCAGGTAGTAAAACTGGAGACAAGGAAGAGAAACACAGAAAATGAGAGAGAGAGAGGAGGAGGAAAAAAAAAAAAAAGAAAGGAAGGAAGGAAAAGAAAAAAAGTTAAATAAATAAAAGGAGAAAAGAGAGAGATAATCTTTTAAAACAAAACCGTCTTAATTTTAGCTTTAAAAATACTGGATTTGGCTTTGGAAGAATTCTATTAGGTAGGACAAAATAATAATAATAA